CGAAAACACTTAAAAATGATTAAAAAGGTAAATTTTATGTTATTTTTTTTAACCACAATAAACAACAACCACCCAGGCACATGCTAAAAATCAAAACAACAAAACCCCCCAAGCCCCCACCCCCCAAACCTTCAGCTATTTGGTAGGTCAGAATAAAAGGGGTTTCTCATTGCAAGAACACTAAAGCAGGGGCTAGAAACCATATGAGATGCATTTATTATTCAAGTCACACTGTTACTTCACATTATCTTCCTACCCCAGAGGAAGTGACCCAACGACGTCCACATTGTACGACTCGTGCAAGCTGAACCCAGCTGAAATGCCAGTTCCCATCACCACCTAAAACAGACACGAACCAAATGTCCTTTACAGGTGAGAACTCAAATGCCACAAAAGTGAGCCCTTCAAACACTGTTAGCCAAACCAAATCTACTCTCACTCAACTTTCAGTTTTAAAAAGAAGAATTACAGTTAGCTTCTAGCAATGCTAAATTCTCCTGACGACTCTCCCCGGAAAATTAAAATGGACTCTAGTTGCCTTGTGGCCTGGTGCTTTCCTTTTCCTTTTGGTCTGTTCCGTGCTGAAGTGTTTGGCTAGTTGACTGCAAACAAAAAAGCCCATAAAACCTTTCAGGAGTTGGCTGTGCCTGTGGGCCAGGGGAAATGTGTCTCTGATCACATGGCGCGAATAGAGGTCCCTGAAGCTTGCACTGTGAAGGGGGGTACGATGACAGTGTATCATTATAAAATGTAGATGAGTGGCTAAAAAAGCTCTGGCACACTTACACCGTGGAATACTGTGCAGCTGTAAAAAAGAAGGATCTCTTACCCTTTGAGACAGCATGGAGGGGCCTGGAGAGCATTATGCTAAGTGAAATAAGCCAGTCAGAGAAAGACAAGAATCACATGATCTCACTTATATGTGGAAGCTAATGAACAAAATAAACTGATGAACACAATAGATCCAGAGACATGGAAGCATGCAACAGACTGACGAATCTGAGGGAAAGGGAGGCGGGACGGGAAGAGATTAATCAAAGAATTTATATGCCTCTATGCATAACCCATGGACACAGGCAATAGTGCAGGTGAAGGCCTGGGGTAGAAGGAGGGTGTGGGGTTAAGGGAGAATGGGGAGTGGAGTGGGTCAATGGGGGAAAGAAGGGGACATCTGTAATACTTTCAACAATAAAGATACATTAAAAAAATAAAAACAAAAAAATGTACGTTTGGATCTGCAATCGTCCTGCTGACCCTGTTTCCAGCACCACGTGTGGTGGAGCAGCCTGCAGTTGCCTCCTCCCAGTTCAGCCAGGGTCAAGTGCAAGTGCCCATCACACACATTTCATCATACACCAGCTTCCTGGAGTGCCAGGGCATAGATTCAGCTGGTGTGGAAAGCACTACCCTTAGTGAGCTACAAGAAGAGAAAAACAAGAAGGAAGGAAGGCAATTTTCTTCATCCTGAAGAATGATCGCTACAGAGCTTTGAGTGGGCTGCCGAGAATGAAGGCTGTCCAGGAAAGGGAGCAGTCCCTCACGGTGGTGGCAGCTCAGGGAACCCATAATGAGGTGAGCTTATCTGACACAGCCGCCTGAGAGACCAAGCGCATGGGTGCTTCTGGCCCCTTTGATGTAATGCTCCCTGTTCTTTAAAATATATATATTTTAATTGATTTTAGAGAGGAAGGGACAGGGAGAGAAAGATAGATCAGTGATGAGAATCATTGATCAGCTGCCTCCTGCACGCCCCCCACCGGGGATCCAGTCCGTACCCCGGGCATGTTGCCCTGACTGGGAAACGAACTGTGACCTCCCGGTTCATATGCTCAACCACTGAGCCACACTGGCCAGGCTGAATTACCCCTTTTTGTTGGTCGCATTTATGTCTGGCACCCTGAATTGTATTAGTTGTGCAACTCAAACTGGGGGGTGGGGGGGGTGGGTGTTTGCCCAGATTATTCAAATCCATAGGATAAATGTGGCTTCAATTTCCATTGCCTCAACTTTATATAATGGAAAATAATTCAAACCCCGCTTTCTGATCAACACAAACAGATATATTACGAAATAGAATGCAAAGCTCAAAAGTGTGGGGGTGATAATAAATAAATTTTATGTTTAAAGGGAGTCATAAAGACTGTCCCACATTTTCCAGCGTGGCTTCTCTCTCCCTTGCTCTGAGGAGAACTTAGATAAGAAAGTTAAAAAACACTGGATTCCTAGAGTCACAAGGATAAAATTCTAGAGAACCATTGCCCTGGGAAACATGAAGCAATCCATTAAAGGGAACCTGGGAAATGGACAGAACCAGGAACCCAGGCCGGGAAAGGCAGTCTTCACCATTTGCTGCACCATTAGGCCTGGCCTGCCCGGCTGCCTGCCCTGCAAAGCAGCTGAGAGCCTCGTGCTGCCCTCCGCAACAAAGCAGGAACTCCGTGCCCAGCCCCAACGAGAGAACAGGCTTTGAAACTGCTAGCCCAGTGGTTCGCAACCTTCTGGCCCTTTAAACCCAGTTCCTCATGTTGTGACCCAACCATAAGATTATTTTCGTTGCTACTTCATAACTGTCATGTTGCTACTGTTATGAATCGTCATGTAAATATCTGATATGCAGGATGGTCTTAGGCAACCCCTGTGAAAGGGTCGTTCGACCACCAAAGGCGTCGCGACCCACAGGTTGAGAACCGCTGTGCTAGACAGTCCTGTTGGGATGTAGACATGACCAACGCATGGAAAAGGATCAAAGCGATTGGTTTCTTCCTGAGCTGTAATGTTGGCCTGTTGTTTTCGTGGCTCAAACTTTTGGCTAAATTTGGGTCAGAGACCTATACTTTCTATTTATTATCCTCATGGTTCTTGAATTATGCAGCAAGGTGCCCCAGGGTACCACAGGGAACTCACCAGGACACCGTGGGATAGAACTTTCAAGGAAAATAGTGACATGTGCCAGACGCTATGCACACTTCTAGTTTGAGGTAGTTCACAGTTTCCACCTCAGTTCCCACTACACTCCTTTTGATTACTCTGTATCGTTGCAAAACTGGGCATTCGGGAGTTGCTGGGGTAGAAAGCAGGTACCATGCAAAATCAAAGTGAAGAGGAAATGGAGGGTAGTAGCGCCCATCTGACTTGAGGATTTGTCAGATAATTGTGGTTATTTAACAGTGTAATAAATATATATTTTATTTCAATTTATGTGCATTATTTTTACAGTTCTTAAAAATAAGGTTGTTAGACATAAATATGTATTAAGTTGTTAGAAATAAATATGTATTAAGTTGCTTGGACTTAACTACTTACTAAATTAAACCATTAGGTATTTCTTTTGGCCTAGGAGTGCCAGGAACCAAGAAAGTTGGGGAACTTTCGTTTTTTGCTCTTTTCAAAATTGAAACAGCTTAATTTTTTTCAGGTTATTAAAGTTATGTGTTCAATATAAAAGAATTAGACAATAAAACATTGAGGCAGAAAAATCTTCCCTAATCTCATCACTCACAGATAATCCCCATGAAAATATTTACAGAGTCTTCACCTATATTTTAAAAATCATCCATTCAGGGCTCTAATGATTTTTCCTTCTTGTCAGTGTATTTGTACAAGTTCCCCTTTCAAATTCTACCTCTCTCTTGGCAGAACGGAGAGGGGAAAGGCCTAACACCCTGCTCCCTCCCATCCCCTCACGCACCCCTCTCACAAACAGCTGGAAGTCGACTTACCGCAAAGAACTCTAACGGAATGGGTGCCGGCAATTTCTCTTTAAATCTCTCATTAAACTCCTTGCCACCCAACAGCAAACCAAAAACCATCAGCCCGACGCCTAGGGAACACACGTTGAGGTTTTTAACATTCTGCAACACAGCAACTGTACTCTGTAACACAGTGAACACTGGCGTTTACATCCGGCAGCGGTCCTGGGCAGTCACTAGTGCACTAATTCACACAGCAGCCCAGCACTGGACCTGCTCGTCAGAGCTCTCAGGCTCAGCTCGATCTCTTTGTAGCTTCCCCCAGTGTGGAGCCATTTCCCCTCGTCAGACACCTTGAAAGCTGAACTCTTATCCAACAATCTTACAGTGCTCTCTGACATGCTCACGTGTCAATGTAGTATTATAAAATTCAGAAGAGTAACCCTTGTACTGAGTCCTGAGCACTGAGAAAGGATTAGGGGCTGAAAACCAGCAAAATAATACAAAGGTAAAGACACAGAAAAACTTTTAAGAGCTGAAAGAGAAATCCTGGTGAGCAGATGAAAGAGGAACCAGGTGGGCTTTGAAGGCAAGAGGGTGCTGAAGTTTGAAAAGATGTCCGGGAGAGTTAAAGAAAGCCGTTTAATTTTATCCTCAGGCTGCAATTCCCAGCACCCCAAATGCAGTCAATACTTATCTGGACCCTGGGGAAGTAGGTTACTGCTGAGCCCCGGCTACACACCTTTCTTAGCAATGCCTACAGCATACTCAGGTGCCCGTCTGTTCTGTCTCCGGGGTGACGAGGCATTTAGAAAAATCTCAGAGTAAGAAGCATGCTACCAGCTATTATGGGAAATGAAGAATTGAGTTATTTAGGGAATGTTCCTACAGTTTGATTCCATTTGAATCCATCCAGGATTCAATTTAAATGGCACCCCTTCAAAGTGACTTTCCTAGACCTCTAATCTAAAGGTCTCCCTATTCAGCTCTCCTTAGTAGCCAGTGCCTTTTCTTCACAGCTTCGAACAATATTTTAATCAATTACACGTGTATGCAATGAATGGCTTACTACTCGTCTTCCCGTTGGACTGTACGTTCCAAGAGGGCAACGGCCATGTCTGCTCACTCACTGCTGGGCCTCGCAAGGTCTTTCTGCCCAAGAATAGCTATAGCATCATCATGTAAGTTTCAGTAGCACTTTAACTGTCATTTGGTTCTAATTATTTAAACATTTCTTGTATCCTTGGGTTACTCAGAAGTAGGGTTTTTTTTTGTTTCTAAATGTGTGGGAGTTTTAAAGCTATATTTAATTACTAATTATGCCATACTGTGTAAAAATATACTAAATTTTTAGAATTTGTGATCAGTTTCACATGTAAGTTTCAACACAATTGGTTATTACCCTTGTTCCCTATGTTCTTATAACGAATTTATATTTTCTCCGAGTTGGATGCAAAGGTCTATATATTTTTTGTTAGATTAAACTGGTTAATTGTGTTAGCCAAATCTTTTATAGACTTATTTTTTGCCTGCTTGAATAAGCAGTTTTTGAGAGAGTTAGGTTCTCCCATGACACTTTAAAATTATCTGTCAGTTCCCAAAGAGAATATAATTCTGTCTCAAGAAAAAGCTGTCTTTTCAGCTAACGAGGGTGTCTTTTCAGCCACTAAATAAAGACCTAACAAAAAATTCCTTGTAAGGCAGGCAGTATCGTAGATTAATAAAAGGAGAGTTTAAGGTTTAATTCATTTTGTAGTGGTCTTTTCAGAAAAGCTTTAGAATAACCAAGTTTTTCCCACTGTATTAAAATTCTTAGCAAAAAGAAAAGTGAGCCCTGCAGGTAAAAGAGATACAGAAGAGGAGGCGGGAAAAGAAAGAAGGAAAAACTAGGACCAGTAAGTTGCTTACTTACATACACCACTGAAAAGATCCCACTGTACCGCTTTGTTTTAACTCCAAACAGGTATTTTAACATGGAGGTGAAGACATGCACAGCTGCCGCCGTGGTAAAGCCACGCACCAGGGGCTCTGTGAGGTATATGGCCACAAATCCAAACCTACAGACACCTAGGCAAAACTATTTTTTTTTAAATGACAAAGAAACAAATAAATCACATGATAGATCAGGAAGTTAAAACGAACAGAAAACATACAAATTTCTTTCTGGACCACTTTCTAACACTACGCATTTGCACCTGCAACTGTTAAGCAGCTAACAAATCAATCGCTGATTGTGCAAAAAACACTGGAAGGTCTGGAGTGGCCTGGAGTCCCAAAGAGCATCAGGCACTCAGAACCGGGGACACGTTGAGTCAATGTCATTGCCTGTTCCTTCCAAGCACATATGAGAGCCTCTTCCCATTACTAAACAATTCTGCTTCAGGCTTTTCTTGCTTTCGGAATCTCTAAAGTACCCAGCGGAGGTTTGCTGGTTCCTAAAACATAATTAACTTCAGTAAGGCATATAATCGGCCTGGTGCTCCCGGGTGCTGTGAGCTCTGAGCTCTGGGATCTTGCAGGCTGATCCTACCCACCCAGTAGACCAGCCAATAGTGCTCAATAGATATTTATGAAATGAACAAACGAGAGCCCATTTCCCCGTCTCTGAGTCTTACCTGAATGATTCCTGCAAGTAAGGTCACTGACATGGCGACTTTCACTCTCAAGGCGTCTCTGGCTTCTGTACCATTGGTTGCGTTTACTCCTCCCGGGATGACTATATCATCTGGTACTAATCGAACAGCCACGCCGCCAATCATCAGGCTAATTACAGCAAACGGACCTGAAACAGTGAAGCATGAATCAAGGAAGTCAGTTTCAGTGTAGCTGATGTGATTGTTGCCAGTACTCTAGAGAACACGGGTGAAGTCAACAAATCATCATTGAAATAAAACTGCATTGTTCTCCTTAAGCATGAAACCACTGCTCCTGGTTTATACTGGTATGTAAACTGTGTGTGTGCAGATTGTCTTCTCCAAAAATGACCATGATGACATCTTCCATCCCACAGACTCTTCTAGAAATCTGACATTTCCCTAGGAAGACATAGACTAATTTTTAATTCCCCTCTCCTTGAATCTGAGAGGACTTGTGACATATTAGTAACCAAAAGAATGCTCTTACCCTTTGAGACAGCCTGGAGAGACCTGGAGAGCATTATGCTAAGCGAAATAAGCCAGTCAGAGAAAGATAAGTATCACATGATCTCACTCATATGTGGAAGCTAATGAACAAAATAAACTGATGAACAAAATAGATCCAGAGACATAGAAGCATGGAACAGACTGACGAATCTCAGAGGGAAGGCGGGGGTGGTCATGGGGTGGGGAGAGATTAACTGGGGGAATTTATATGCATATATGCATAGCCTGTGGACACAGAGGATAGTGTGATGAAAACCTGGGAGGGGCAGATGTGAGATGGAGGGGGTCAATGGGAGAAAAAGGGGGGCATCTGTAATTCTTTCAACAATAAAGATAAATTTTTAAAAATGCAGCAGCAGTGATACTGTTGACTTCTGAGGCTAGGTAACAAAAGGTGATGCAGCTTCCACCTGAGAGCTGTTACACTGGCTCGTACTGCAGCCCTGAGCGTGAGAAGACTCGTTAGGACCACGTGGAGAGAGAGGAGAAAGGAGAGAAAGAGGAAAGAGGGGGAGCAAAGGGCAAGAGGAGAGGGTGAGAGGGAACAAGAGAGAGAAAGAGGTTCAGGCTTCCTGTAGCTGCTCTAACCCCAGCTCTCTTCTGACTCTCAACTGCATGAGACCCTGAGCCAGACCTGCCCAGATGAGCTTTTCCCAAATCCTGACCCACAGGAACTGTGAGACACAGTGAAGTGATTCTTGCTTTAAGCTGCTAAATTTGGGGGGTATTTGTTACCTAGGAACGGACATCTGAAACACTGTGCCTGTGTTTGCTGGGGGCTGCCTCATGCAGCACCGAGGCTATTATGAAATCCATATAAATCTGATCCTAAATACACGAATACACTACAGGGAATCCAGAGCCTAAAATCAGATGAAAATGCAATACATGTGTGGTAATTAGGAACTTGCAGTGTCACTAATAAAATAAAAAGAAAACCAGATGCAAGTAAATTGTATTATAAATAAAACATGTATTTCACAGATTTTAACAACTGCTCTTTTTACGCATGAAAATAGTTTTTCTTCCCGCCCTCCCCCATTATGCCAAGATGATAAGAAAGCTATTAGTTCTAGAAATCTTGGGGGGACTGTATTTTAAAGTACCTACTGGGTGTGCAGTAACACGTTATTATTAAGCAGATGTTCTAATAACAAACATGCTATGTCTTCGGCACATTGCAAAGCTGAGAAAGCCAAATGGAAAGGTACCAGAGTATCAAGTATAAGCTTTTACCTATGGATATGTGTCTGGAGGTTCCAAAAAAACAATACATGATAACAGGGTAAAACGAAGAGTACAGGCCGAACACCGGAGGCACAGCTGCCAACATTGCGAAGGCTAAGCCTATGGGATTAAACACCAGACAGAAATAGGGAGATCATTAGAAAAGATGGTTGATATGTATTTTTCTCTTGGTTCTTTATCTCTGATGAACAAGTGATAACCATGTTAACTTAAGCAGAAGTGTCTTCACTGGCCCGCCCTTCTACCCTGAACATACAGATTATCCTACCTTCTGCGTAGAGAGTCCAGGCTGGGATGTCCCCTGGTCACCTCCTCTTTTCCAGGAGTCATTATTAATCGCCTTTGCCTATACCGAGTCATAGCCACCACTAATTGACTTCCCACATTCATTCTGGTGCCGCTCCCCCCAACCAAATCTATTCCCCAAACAGCAGTCTCAGTGACTCTTACAAAGGAAACCCAAGCGAAAAGCATGCTGATAGCTTTCACTGCACTCAGAATGAATCCAAAAGTGGCTAACACGGCTAGGCTGATCAGCCCCTGTCCACCTCACTCCCAGAACACTGCCTTTCTGTTAATTCTGCAAATCATGTCTTCAAACACCCAATTCTTTTTCTGCCAAGTGCCTTCACACATGCTATTCCTTCTGCCTGCAATGCATTTCCTCTCGTCCTTTTTATTGATTTCAAAGAGAGGAAGGGAGAGTGGGACAGGGATAGAAACATCAATGATGACAGAATCACTGATTGGCTGCCTCCTGCACGCCGCCTATTGGGGATTGAGCCCATAATCCCGGCATGTGCCCTGACTGGAAATTGAACTCTCACCTCCTGGGTTATAGGCCGATGCTCAACCACTGAGCCACACTGGCTGGACACCTCTCTTTCTTTACCTGCCTCCTACTCATCCCTCAGGTCTCAGCTCACATCTCATTTCCTTAAAGAGGTTTTGGTGATTTACCTTCTTAAATTAGGTCTCCCTGTGATTATCTCATAGTATCCTGTATTTTCCCTCATAGTGTTTAACATCATCTATATATATAAAAGGCTAATAGGCAAAGTGTCCCCATGGGAGTTTGACCGCTTTCTTTACCTGCCTCCTACTCATCCCTCAGGTCTCAGCTCACATCTCATTTCCTTAAAGAGGTTTTGGTGATTTACCTTCTTAAATTAGGTCTCCCTGTGATTATCTCATAGTATCCTGTATTTTCCCTCATAGTGTTTAACATCATCTATATATATAAAAGGCTAATATGCAAAGTGTCCTCATGGAAGTTCGACCGGGAGTTCTATCGCTTGCTATGACATGTGCTGACCACCAGGGGGTGGCACAGAATGAAGGAAGGCCCCAGCTGGCAGCTGGGGAAGGGAGGCCTTGGCCAGCCCTGATTGCCTGCCAGGCCTAGGAACCCTAGCCATGCACGAATTTTGTGCACCGGGCCCTAATTTATACATAAAAATGTATATCTGATTCAGGTCTCTGTCCCTGATTGGGGAGTTAGTTCCATGAAGACAGGGAGGGACAAGCAGATCTTGATAAACGAGTGTGAATGGATAAACAAATTAATGAGATATTCTTAAATTCTTAATATCACATGTAAAAATCACACAGATGCAGAGAATTTAACATTTCATGATCTCTTGTAACTAGAATATGAGCTTATCATCAAAAACCTTAATGGTGACAACCCCAACAGCATTTCAAAGTGACTGATTAACCCAGCCAGTTCCTAACTGTACTGATCTGCACAACAATATCACCACATTCTGCGACTACTAGCTCTGGGGCTTTTTAAGGGTTACATTTTTTTCTGGAGAATTCTTTTAGACAGGTAAAGTTTACTAGAATGATATGATAATAACTATGAATTTGCAATCATGATGAAATTAAACAGAAAGAAGGTCAGGCAATTGTTTGAGGGTAATGTAGCAAGAGAAACAAACAAAAATAAATAAATATATTCTACTGACCTTGAGGAAGCTGAAGCACCCCTGTGCTAATGCCTGAGACCAAGTCACCCAACACATACTCCTTGAATTTGTATGCTGGCAACCACTTAGTTATGGGTAAGAACATATAAATGATATTTCTTATTTTCTTCGGAGTACATCTGGGCGGACAAAAAAAGACAGAGAAAAAAATGAGGAACATTTCTGTAGAGTTTGAAGGGAGGCATTTTCCCTCCCTTTCATCCTGGAATGCTAAGGCAGACATTCCCTCTGGTGCCGAGGATAAGCTTACACTCTGCAGAGATCAGAGACAAGAAGAGCTGTTCTTGCAATTTGTGTTGTTGGGGACATCTAAATCGGCTCCATAATAATGCTCTACAACTGGCCGTGAAAAAGAAGAAAAATTTAGCTTCAGAATAACTGAGATAACTCCGAAGCTATTATTTTAATAGATACAAACCTTAATGTACTTCCTGTGTTGGTATAAAAGCGAAGTTGGGGAATTATTTACGGATTGAGTTAACTTTTGAATGTGGAACCAATGACCAGCATCTGCCCATTAGTTTTCCTCTTTCCTTATAAAATCAAGGAAATTTATACAGGTATTTTGAGTTTTATTAACATATGTCCCTTGCTTTAGAGTCTTTGATTCGGTAAACTCAAAATGCCATTTGTCACTGGAGTGTAATAGCTGAGTCTATTATGTCTGGTTGTCTTGGTTAACTGGAAGACCAAGCTGATAAACCCAAGGCCTTGCATTTAATCTCTATGGGCCTTGGCCAATTTTTTTGCCAGGCTACGCCCATGATCAAAGTCATCACTGAGTAACAGTATGGACAGATGAGTTCAATGGCCACAAGGAAAATTTTAAGTGTTCCCGGTGACAAGGAAACAATTTGTTCCATTCAAAATATATTATTGCAGCATGCATGGTATTTTTATATAGTATCTTTCGTGGTTAAGAGTATTTGGCAATTTGATGAAGGAGAATATTAGAAGCAAAATGTGAGGTAACTGTGGTAAGAGCAATAAATTTGAGTAGAACAAACTAGATTTGATACCTTGTTTAGAAAATTGAGATATTAATAATAGTTACACTTATATAATACTTGCCATATGCCTAATCCCCTAGTAACTCTATGACGTAAGTACTATTATTATACCCATTTTACAGACTAGGAAACTCAAGCACATAGCTGGTAGGTGGTTGGGACTAGGATTAAAGCTCAGGCAGTCTGACTCTAGTGCAAACATTTTTCACCTCTCCTGAAAGGTGAAGCTTAAATGAACACAGAACACAGAAGGTGTAGTAACAAGGGTTCCGGAGGCAGTAATCAAATGGTTTGGTTTTGAAGTTTGGGAGCTATCAACAGGCACACATGTATTGACATTCTCACGCCTGCAACATGGCTGTGTTCGTGTCTCCAAAATTAGGAGTCACAGGCCACTGAGGGTCCTTGACAGCGTAGGTTGGGGATTTAGATTCAGGGTTTTGCCAAATGGGGTAGAAAATAAGAGAATGGCTGGAGCATTCTGAGAGACAAAGGGAAAAGGTAGATATTCTGAATGTGGTGGAGAACTGGAAGTGGGTTATTTACAGGAACCATTACCCATAATCCCCAAGCCACAGCAGTAATTCAATAAATATGGTGAAATACATAATGAAGCTCGTGCTCAATCAAATATCCATCACGGACAACCCTGTGGACAGTTCAGCAAATCACGAGTGCTCACCCTTTCCCCCCTCCATTTCACCAGATTGTCCTTATACACTTGACCTTGTTTCTCTCACAAGTGAATGACAGAATACAGGAAACAGGTGAAAACACAACATACGTGAATGCCTGTTTTAGCTTATCCCCAATGGAATCCGGAATCTTGTCCTTCGTGTGCAGTATTTCCTGGAGGGCCAGATGACTAAAGATAGGCCTGTCCACATAGTACTTCTGGGCCGCTGCAAGGATTTCAGTTTCTTCAGCATGATCCATAGTACTCTGAAATTATTCGTCAACAGCAGGAGACAAGCATTTCCTGAGTGTCACAAGGGAGAAAATAAACACGCTATTTCAGGTGCCAAAATCTAATTGATGACTGTTCTTAAGCATCTCTTCCTTGCAGTATTCTAAGTTCTGAATGCTTCATCTTTGGACACCCCAGAGCACCTAACACAGTGATCTATCTGTACATAGCAGGCACGAATAAATGAAATAAAATGGATAAAAATCACCCCCAGGTCAATAAGCGGCTCATTGACCACCCACAGGGCATCATGAAAAAAAATATGCTTAGGTCCAAAGAGGTTGAAAATTCAAGAGTCTAATATAAAAAAGAATTCTAGCAGCAAATGAAACCAGGTACCAATAAGGATGATATGAAAAGATTAGTCTGGAGAAAGGATTTTTGCAGCAGAATCTGACAAATAAAGATTGTATGTTTTTGTTTTGGGCTAACTTTTTAAAAAAATATATATTTTTATTGATTTCAGAGAGGAAGGGAGAGGGAGAGAGAAACATCCATGATGAGAGAGAATCACTGACTGGCTGCCTCCTGCACACCCCACACTGGAGATCAAGCCCAAAACCCAAGCATATGTGCTGACCCAGAATCAAACCACGACCTCCTGGTTCATAGGTCGATGCTCAACCCAAACCACGCTGGCTGGGCTGGGCTAACTTTTCATGGCCACTCCAGGGATATCACAATATCCAAGAATATCTGGGCTGATGTATGAGCGGAGTTTGACACATGGCAATGCTACCACTCTGCCTTCTAGCTGCCCCCAACTCCTCCAAAACAATACATGATAGTGTTGTAGAAATGTTTGTAGTTCAGGAAAATACCAAGGTTAGAGTCCCATTCACTCTAAGAAATTCCATTTCATTCCCCTCACTCTCCTTCAATGTCCCCCACACACTTATCATTGTAGCTTTCAAAACCTGGTTTTGTGTTCTGTTTCTCTGAAGTCTCCCCGTCACCTCTAATCCTTCAGAGATGTGTCTATAGTTGCTACTTTGTGTATTTTTCCATTTTTCACCCGCTTTATTACAATTATTGGTCTCCTCTACTAGACTGTAAATTCCTCCAGGCAACACCATACTTTGAATTCCCGGGATCTAGCTCAGTCCTTGTTTCCTAGCAGGCACTCAGGGATAGCTGAATGAATCAAACCTTTGGATTGGCGCCTCATGATTGTTGATAATGTAAGCCAGGCTTCCTCTCTGTTAAATCACAGTGCAGAAGGCTAAGTCTATTTTAAACACTTTTACTGTATTGTTCCTTTTGGACACTTCCTCCTTGGTCTTCTTCTGTCCTATTTTTAGAAAGGTTATTCCTTCCTCATATAGCCACTCAAAGAGAAATAGACCAGACAGAGCTGAGGGGAATCTAATAAGAATCAGACTGTTTTTTTGGTTTTTGTTTCCCTATTGCAAAAAAGTCAGCTTTACCAATGATTTTGCTCTTAACACACATTTACTGTTGTCAGTGGGACAAGCAGTGATGACCACTGTCTAAGGATATTGTATCATCTACAATGCCGTGGTGACCAAACCTGGCCACTTACTTCAATCGTCCAGGGCAAGGTTTAAAGTACCGCTGTCGAGCCCAATTGGCGTGGCTCAGTGGTTGAGGGTCAACCTATGAACCAGGAGGTCTCAGTTCAATTCCCAGTCAGGGCACATGCCCAGGTTTTGGGCTTGATCCCCAGTAGGGGACGATTCTCTCTCATCGTTGATGTTTCTGTCTCTCTCTCGCCCTTCCTCTCTGAAATCAATACAAATATATTACAAAAGTAAGAGTTCCTTCTTATAAAAAAATAAAGTACCACTGTTGAGGCCTCACTCTGACTCCTCTGAATTAGGATTCCCACGGGTGGGGCCTGGACAGTGGACATTCACTCCATGTGGGGTAGGCATGCACCGCTGTATCACTGTATCCATGTATGGTGACTCTCTTAAGATTTCCGAGCAACAGAATAAATATACATACTATATAGTATAGTGGAGGAAATAAGATATTTCTAAAATATTAGACATCCTTTTCCTTATTCTACCCTCCACCTAGAACCTCTCAAAATTCTTTTGACTTCATTAAGCAGAGCAATTAGATGTATGTTTTGAAAGTTCCCTGGGAAATTCAGATGATCAGCTAGGTGGGTATTTGATGTATATAAAAATACTGGCTTTCAACTCTGCCTGAACCCAGAATCTTTTAGAAAACAACAGATATCAGAAAACTTTTTAAAAAGCATTCTAAGAGCCCTGGCCGGTTTGACATAACAAATCACAAAGAAACATTTGAAAACAAAAGCCAATTATATACTTTTAGAAATAATAATAAATCAGTGACATGATTAAAACCATATGAGATCCTTTAAAAAAAGTAATCTTTATAATAGATGATATGCTAGAACACAACATAATAAATATAGTAAGGGTTAATATAAAATGCTTACTGAAAAGCACATGAAATGAATTTTGAAGAGGAATTTGAAATATAAAGGCGTGATTTAGCCGTAAAAATGGTGCTTTGAATTTGACATTTTAATTTAGGGAATTGGTTCTCAGGCCTGGCTGCACATGGGAATCACCTGGGCAGCCCTAACTACCACTGATGCCCGACTACAGCCAGGGATTCTGATTGAATTGGCCTGGGAGGCAGGCAGGGATTGAGAGCTTAAATGCTCTCCACAGGAGTCTAATGTGCAGCCAAGACTCAAAACTGCTGACTCAGCGGACGGCAGGCTGAAAAGCCACACTCCCCCAGTACACCACAAGTCAATTCTTCTGTCTACGTGTATTCCAAATATCGCATGGGGCGTGCTGACATTCAAATTTCGTTCTTTATCTCAACTTTAACACATTTTGCTAAATTGGGCAACTGTAACTCTCTGTAGGTTAGGAAGAGACAGAGTAAAGAGGGGGCTCTCAAATATTTTTGAAGTGTTGGGACCCTGGCTGTAGGTTCTGTCCTCCTTGAGATAACTGTTGGGCAGCGTAGAGACGTCTTAAGTGGGGAAAGAAAGGCCTGCTGGGCGGGGTCAGGCCTGGGAAGGCGCAGAGCATGTTATAATGAAAGGCTGTCCTTTTGGGGAACTTCTAGTGCTCATCAGCAATAATTAAATAATTAAAGCCTCGAAAGCTATCGATAGCCACCTTATCAGAAGGAGAGAGGCAAAGTACCCGAGGGACCAACACAAGGAGATCAAATGACCAGACTCCTATCTGACAGATAATGAGGTTCCAGAGTGGCGACTGAAATTATAAATCACCAAACTGTAAAACAAACCCTCCCATGAGAGAAAAGTCACTTCTGAGATGGCTTAAAGTGACACATCTTCTGGTAGTCCTCCAACGAAAATACTAATGACAGAAAAGCAAATTGATCTAGAGGTTTTTCCACAGCAATAAGAGAAGAAATTTAAAAATAGTTTAGAACATCTTTTATCTTAGATTTCTAGACCTGAAAGTAATCTTGGAAACCATCCAATTTAAGTCCCCCACGTTGTAGGTGAGAAAATGAACTCAACTACACACACTTGGGCAAAGGTGACTTATCGAAAAATATTCTCAAAATGCAAAACTTGTTTCTTATTCAAAGTAGTTGTCAAATGTAAAAGGCACAGATATTTATCAATAAAAATTATAGCAATATAAAAATACTCATGAAGATGTAAAGTACAGCACAGGGAAGACAGTCAATAACATTGTACTGACTATGCAAGGTACCGGGTGGGTACTAGACTTATTGTGGCGATCACTTCACGTGGTGTACGAATGTCTAATCACTTGCTGTACATCTGAAATAAAATACTGTATGTCAACTGTAATTGAAAAGTTAAAAATATTATAACAAAGCAGCAACATTTTAGCTTCAAAATAAGGCAAGAATTAGTTGCTTGGCAATAATGAAGATTCAATATGATTTTATGGAAGATGCTCTATGTTGGAGGTCAGGGTCAGGGTCTAGCCCTGCTTCTGCACCTCAAGTTCTGTGCTGTGATGACAACGTTAAGTAGATCAGGAGTTCCATACTTGGAAACATGTCAGAGTCACCTGGGAGCTTGAAACCACAGATTTCCAGGTCCTTACAAGATTCTGATTGAGTGATTCTGGAATCTGTAGTTTTTAAAGCCCATCGCGTAGGACTGATGAACAACCTGTTGGGAAACCAGACTGTAAGCTCCATGAGAACAGAAACCCAACACTGTTGCCATCTGTACAGTGACTGCTCGGTAGAGCTCAGAAATGCTTGTTGAATGAATACGGAAAAGTAACTGCCTCTCTGGGTCTTAGCTTCCTGGTCTTTAAATGATATTTCCAGTGATAACATTCTGAGGTTAGTCTTGGCAAGTTTGTTCAAAATGCCAATGAAATCTTTGTGCTTAAATTAGCTAGAATGGATTCAGTTGTCTGCAACTAAGAAGTTTACACACACACACACACACACACACACACACACACTCACACCAGTTTAATAATGTTTTCCTCTGTTTTAAGTTGGAAGGTGAGTATTCTTCACTATGAACTGGAGATGTCAGTTAAGACAGCTACCCACCTATTCAAAGTAATAAAGTTGCATATTTATAATTCTAATAATGCATATGTTAGCCTTTTATTTATTTATTTATCTTTTTAAAAATCTATTTTTATTGATTTCAGAGAAGAAGAGAGAGGGAGAGAGAGATAGAAACATCAATGATGAGAGAGAATCATTGATCGGCTGCCTCCTGCAGACCCCCTACTGGGGATGGGGCCTGCACCCCGGGCATGTGCCCTTGACCAGAATTGAACCCGGGCCCCTTCAGTCTGCAGGCCGATGCTCTATCCACTGAGCCAAACCAGTTAGGGCTATCTTAACCTTTTAAATCCAAGTATGCAGCACATGCCCAAACTTCTACATCTTTCACATAATTTACCTATGGGTGTCAGCATGAACAACCAACAAAAATAAAAGTTATTTATTATAAACTTTTTCTACACTTCCCAGAGCAACAGAACATAAACGTTTCTATAATGAACATGGCATATAGAAAAGTTTTCA